TAATAAAATAATGTTTTAATAAATTACATAGAGATCTCAATTATTTAAATATAAATATAATTAATTTATTTTTTTTAATATTATAATTTTTTTAAAAAAAAATAATGACTTATTTTTCCTCCTCCTCTATAATACCAGAAAAGGATAAAGTCTTGTTTGTTTATACTATAATTAAAAAATTAGTTTCTTAATAACATTTTTAATTTTATAATACTATGATTCTTTCTTTTATAAAGGAGACAGATAAAAAATTTATTCTAAAAATATAATTTCTATTATATATATATATATATATTTATATATATGAGAGAAGAATCTTGATTGTTTCTAATGCCATATACTTTGGCTTTGGTATTTTCTCCTTTTTGTTTTTCATTATTGATTGCGAGTTATTTACTTTACTTTGGGAATATACTATAACTATAGCTATATTCATAATAAGGACAATAGTAATATAATATATAACAGTTATTTTTGCAAATGGCAAAAAGGGGGCTTGTATATAATTATGTATATTATTAATCGTATAGGAAATTTTAATAACATAGATATAATTATATAATAGTACAATGGGTAATAATAATAATGTAATATAATTATAAGGTTATTAAATTTCTTTAATAAATTAATAAATTATTAATTGATTTTTTTTTTTTTTTTTTTATAATTGTAAAAAAATTTATGAACAAAAGGGACCACATGTTCTGCACGTTCATAAAAAACAATAAAGATTGTCGGTATAAATCCAGATCTGGTCATGGTACGTAATGGACATGGCCCATATAGACGTGTACGTTCTTCCCCGTCCATGGTGTTCATCTTATTTTAAATCGTAACACTTCTTATACAAACCATAAATTATCTTGCTATACTATAAAAATGGCTTATATTTATATATGTATAGGAGATTGTAAATTCGAATTGAATTATGTATTTTTATATATTTTCATTAAAATTTTGATATCATGTTAATTTGTATGGTAATAATTTATAATCAAAATATTAATAACATAGAGATAATTAATAATTGTAATTAATAAAAGATTTAGGAAGCATTAGTATCTTAAAATACTTATTAAAAATAAAATAAAATGGGTCATTTAAAAATTAGCAACTTATTTAAGAATGTTTTGTCTGATTTGAATACATGAATTATGTTACACTAAATCAACGTGCAATGATAAAATCTACAATATTCATGATATATGTATTATAAACAAAGCTTGTAAATGAAGCAAAAGTGCAAAAAAAAAAAAAAAAAAAAAAAACTCATTCATCCTTTCTTTAAACTAAGTATAAAATTAGTACCCTGCATATACCTAACTGACTTGGTGTCAATGGGGAATTGAACCCATTAAAGCATGAATCTTCCTTAAACAATACACTACACTTTAAAATCTCAAAGGAAGCCTTGCAAATTTGAGTTTCTCTTCCTTTTCACTATCCACATCAAGGATCATCATTACCATCATCTATCTTCATTGTTGTCGAAATCATCGAAAATCATATATGTACTTTTCTAAAATGAAAATATTCTATACATTTTATTGCACAAACTCAAACCGCATTATAAGCCTTACAGATTTGAGTTTCTCACCCTTTTTATCATGAAAAGGCACTGCTCGGATCCCATGTCTGAGCTCCTAGACAGGCAAGCATGTCTGTCCGCCGAAATCATCCTTCTCGGACATATCATACTCTTGTACTTCGATCCGAAGCAGAGCTAGTTCCGGAACTGTCAAAGGAAATGTGAACTCTTCATCCCAAACTGGATACCAGTTATCCTCAATTATCTATGTTTTCTTGTTTGCATCATCAACAGGCACCCCAACAATGCAAGCTATCATATACACACATAAACATATATATATTTATCAGTATTCAATCCCATTGCATACTTCTAAAATACACAAAATTCAATTTGGTTTTTCTATTTGTTCCCATTTTTAGCAGATAATCTGTGGTTAATAATAAAAAATTAGGAGGCAGTCATGAAGTCAGCTATGAGCAAGTATGACCTTTGTGTAGAAGTCTGGTGGTGAATAAGCGTCAAAGTGTGTGTGGCTGAAATCCAAGCGCCATCCATCACCCATATATACTTTCACCTGTATATTAACCAGGATTTCTCTCATTGGTATTCGTTAAAAGTTAATCCAATTCATCTAATTAAACTTAAGTTTTATGATAGTTTTTTCTTACCTTTAGGGTACTCTTTACTGGTAACTTCCTTTTTGGGTCAAAAACCTCATTTTGAGGACCTTTCTCCATTAGAAAATCAGGTTTCTTGACATACCCACATCCTCCATTTGCTCTAAACATTCCTTGCATTAACCACAGTGATTTTCCATACCCCTATTTACCTCAAATATCAGTTGTTATTATAACTTCACGGTTATAATAAAGTAAATTGATTTTTTTAAAAGGTTACACTGATAGAAAATAATTCAATCTATTTTTTATACTCTGATATGTCCAATGGGTTATGTTCATTTATATATGAATCTACATTTAAGAAAATAAGGATATGTTTGAATTGTGAACCAACCTGCATGTTGAATGCAATCATCTGAGCACCATGCATCCACCCAATAAGCGGCTTGTAATTCGAGGAGTTAACTCGAGTTCCTTTAGGGTATATCCTAAGGAGATTCTTCTGTGTAAACCTAGCAGATATAGAAGCATGAAAACAAATTCGGTGACTCAAAACTAAAGAATATAAAAATTTTATGATTATCTAAAAATAAAATCAAACTGTATAACTTGTACTCTTTTTATTGTTCCCTAAAGAATCTCAAGATGTAACAAGTTACCGAACTTAATTTAAACCAAGCCATGTCGAATCACACAATTGAAGATTGTATATGGTAAAAGAATCAAGCATGTCATAGACATAATAATACATAGAAGAATGAGAAATTCTATGTTCATTCAATCTAAAGTGTCAATTTGAACTTGCACTGTCTTTATTTAGCTAGCATAATCATCTCTTAATACCATTACATAGCGTATACATAAACAGACAGACACATACATGAAACATTATAAAACCGAAATAGAATTGACAATGATATCATGTTAGGTTCTATCTTAAAATTATACGATGATAATTAGATTGTTCTTTCAAATATATAAGTTGTTACAGATATTTATAATAATTATTATATTTATTAACCATACATCTTTGAAATTTATTTTAAACTTAAAAAATATGGATGAAAGATTTCAAAGGACCCAAAAATATAGAAAGATTTCAAAAGAATCAAGTACATTATGCAAATTTATCTAAAGGGCTGGTTAGATATTGATGTACCTCACAACATCAGTTCCATGAGACGCAGCAGCCTTTTCAAGCAACTGTTCACTCAAACTAAGGCGTCTAACTTTATCGGCTGCAACTTCCAGAGAATCCTTCAATAGTCCCTTCGGTTTACCGGCATGGATTGTGATCAAATGTTTGTATGTTGGAGCTCCTGGTTTTCGATCACTTTCACTAACAGGATCTTCATCATCTTGATCACTGTCAGTAAGCTATACATAAAAACAATTACAAAACCAAACAAAACCAAGAAAAAAAGGGAAAATTAAAAGAAAAATAATAATAATTTCACTGCTTACTTTGTCATCAGCCTCCCCTATCTCAGGCATATTATCTGATGTCTCCATCCCTGAAGTTCCTTCTTCATCAGACGAGTCACGTCCATCCGGTGATGAATTATCTCTTCTCTTGATAATGTGCCTGGATTCAAGGTACTCTTTTGGTGGTTTTGTGGAGATGATTATTTGATGTTTGAGTGATTCTGGTGAAGGAAACTGCCCTTAAAAGAATCTGATTCAGGGTAGTAAAGCATTTTACCAAAACGTTTGGCTGGGCCACCTATATATTAAAAAACCAATTTGAGTCAAATATACATTGATTGAATCCTCAATTTGATATACCAAGAAGAAAAAGAATGAAGAATCCATGACTGACCTCTGCAACTTTGGCCTGAAGATCTGGTGTTAAGTGATCCTCTAGAGTTATAATGACTGGATATGGAGAAGTAACAAAGGCATAGTCTCTTATGGACTTGAAGCATTTGATAAGAGGCACAGGACTAGTTAGTGTCCTGAAATTATTATTCAAAGATACTTCCATGATTAAACTTGGTTTTGAGTTTTAGACACAATAAAATCACAAAGTCGAACAATGACATAAAATCATTGAAATAAAATCAAATACAAAATTATCTAAATCCACTTAATTCAAATGGTAGAAACTTCTCAACTTTACAAGAGTATTTAAATAGGACAAAGTACAGTTTCATTCAATATGATTTAGTTTTGTTGCTCGATCATATTAGTTTAAACATGAATATATAAACAAACACGATTGTTGACCCAAACTGTCATCCCTTTTATATTTTGACATTGTTTTCAAAGAATTTCATCATTTGCTGAATGAAATTCAAAGAATTGAACAGATTATATACTGTAGGAAAAATAATTCTGTGTGTACATATGTATGTACATACCTTCCATGGAGAACGTGAACATCATCTTTGGTGGAATTGGGCCATAGATCAAGCTCAATGACTCTAACACCTCTTTGCAAGGCTTTTATAATAGGGACTTCACTGCAATCACTGCTGAGTTGATTGCCAGTTAAGTAGGAATTGTGCCCTGTATATATGAAATAATGTGACAATGGAGCACTCATATCATGGTGTACCTGACATGACGAAGTAATATAATAATTGTCAAAGACATACATGATCGTATATATTCAACACATACATATATCATATACATATGATATATGTATGTGATATATCATATGTCTATGTCAATATATATATAGAGAGAGAGACATGCATACATGGCTTAATAAATAACAACATAGGTGCATTTTCCAAAACCAAACAAAGGCACAAAATTAAATACCAGCAAAGAAATAGAACCCTAATTAGCCAAATTTAATTAAGTTTCGTTTTCTTTTTTCCCTCTTGTTTTCTCATTAGACGAACAAAAACAGAACTCAGTATAATTTTATTCTTTACAAATATAAATAATTACTGTAATTAAACTCCATTAATCAGTAAAATCAAAATGCTGCACATGATCGCCAGTAACGTACGTGTGTATGTATATATGCATATACATAGACGCGCGCGCGCGCGTACAAGTGCATGGGTGGATGTATAGATGTGAATGTGCAATATACCTGAGAAGAGATGGGGCCATTGAGGTCTTCCGAGAATAGGAAGTAGAAAAAATCGAGGAGGTCGAGGGAGTGGCGCGTGTAGCGCGTGATGTGGTGTCGACGGTGGATAACGAGTTCGAGGAGATGTTGGGAATCAGCTATGGTGCGGTCCATTTCCTGCTGGTGCACCGCCAGGAACCGACGGAACTGATCTGCCGTCATGTGGGTCTCGCCTTCCGCGAACCGCTGGAACGCCTCCTTGACTTCCGCCGTAGGCTCCAACTCGTTGATCTTGAACTTCCTGTTGAAGCACTTGAACATTTTGTAGTTGTAACTCCCTGCGTCGTCGTTTTGCTCGTTATTCCCCGCCATGACCTTCTTCTCTTTCCCCATCTTTACCAATCTTTCTTTTGTCTTTCTTTCTAATGTTGGGGATTCAAAGAAAGAAAATGAAGGAAAAACCAGAGAAAAAGAAAAAATGTTAAAAGACAAAGGAAGGAGGAGAAGAGAGCCTATAAAACAGGAGTGTTTGAAGCGGGATCGTTGTCTCTATTTTTATTTATTTTAATTTTTAATTAATTTTACGTTTTTAATCTTCAATTATTATTACTAATATACATTATTAATGACTTTTTAATGTATAATTCACTATTTTTATTTCAAATTATACCTTGCTTAATAAATGAGACTCGCTAATTATGAGTCATATCCAAATAGTTAAAATTAACATTTTCAAATTGGGATTTGGGATCCATCTAAGCTAATAATTATGATTTATATCCAAATAAAATTGGGATTTGGGATCCATCTAAGCTATAATAGATATTGACTCATATGGGATTATAGTATATCTTTATAATGGTAATTTTTTTAGCTAATTTTGTAGGGTGAGATATTTTTCATAATAGTCTTGAAAAAATAAATTTATCAACTCATTCAAAATTTTAGTTGCACAATCTTAAATAAACTTATGTTAAACCAAAGTTAAACCTCAATTTAAGTTTTTTTTTTAAATAAAATTCTGATGTACATTAAATAATTTACTTGAACAGTATAAATTTAAGAATAAAAATATTGAATTTAAAATTTTGTACACATGCATATTTATTTTTAAATTAAATCTATTTATACTTTATACTTTTTTAAATTAATATATTCTATTTAATTATTTAGATCGACTCTATTAATATTTATTTGTAAAAATATTATGTTTTTTAATTTATTTATAATTTTTTTTATTGATATAATTGAAAATAATAAATTAAAATATTGGAAACATACATAAAAAAAATTAAGATTTACACAATTTAATAAAATGAAATTGAATTTAGAAGTCACAAAATTTGTACTCCAAATAATTTTCTTTTATTCCCTCAAAGTGCATGCCATTATTACCACGGTATGGTAAAATGATAAAGGTAATACCTGCCCAAGTCCAATCTTCTCATTAACGCGCGAAAAGGTTCCACTTTCCGGCCGTCAACTTAACGGCTTGACAGTTACTATATCGTGGCTTTATACGACGTCGTTTCTTATCGGCCCAATACTAACACCACCAAAAATTCTCCGAGTGTTTTTGGATCCCGATTCGTTCCTGAGTCAACTCAAAAGTCAAGGTCCCGCCGGCCTTGGAAGCCCAGTACCGGAGTAGCGAGCAGAGATGGCAACCACTACAACCACGGGAAGATTGGTTTCGCTTATTATCTTGTGGTTTCTTTTTCTTTTTGGAGTACTGGTTCTCATCCAGGTAATTTTGATTTCATCTCTGTTTGTTTCCCTGGGTAATCGAAAAGAAAACGAAAATTGTCGAGAAACAGAGGCAATTTTTTTGCTTGTTTATTATATATATATATGTATATTATTATATCCTTCTTTTTCATTGTCTCTGACTATTTGGAAGATTGTGTTATCTATTAATGCTCCAATTCACTTTCTTTTTTCCTTATTTAAGAATCGACTGAGCGATGCTGGAATCTCAACAGAGCAGAAAATTGGAGATAATAACCTTAATCAGGTGAGAAATTCACCAATTTTGTTATTACACTTTCCCGAATCTTGTTTTTATACAAACAAATTGATCCTATTTGTGTATCCCAATACATTTCTGGTATGTAGATAGATAGATACATGTATATGTATGTACCTACGCAATTAGGGTTTGTTTTTCCTAATAATTTCTAATATTTACAGGTAGAAAAGGATATGGAAGGAGTAACACACAAAGTTTTCTTTGATATCGAGATTGATGGAAAACCAGTGGGTATGGTTTATTTGTTCTGGACAAAGAAAAACACTTCCATTTCCTTTTAAGATTGAGCTTGGTTTAAATTTTGATTCCATAAAATAGAAAATGATAATACAATATAAATGAGACGAAATTTGAGTGGAAAAAGCACTATATTTCCAAATTAATTTCACATCCAATTTACATAAAGAGTTTTTTTATTACACCCTTGATAAGGAGGAATACAAATCCACCACTATAGATTTTGAAAATGTGGAATCGGTTTAGTTATATGAAAGTTATAAATTATGATTCTTGTCTAAATATTAAATAACTATCTTTCACATGTCAAATAAATAAGACGTAAGTATTGAATAAAAATATAATTGAACTGAACCATATTCGAGGTAAATTCTTTTGCAGTCTACTTCAGTTGCTTAATGAAGATGTCAAAAAATTTATATGAAGTACAATGAATGTTCGTTTTTGGAGTGTAATAAGTATTATAGCTTATTGCACTTCTTATCGTGCTAAATTCATGTTCATGTTTTTGTATCTCAGGGGTATGAACAAAAATAAGTGGTTGAACGGCAAAGAACAATGTTTTAACATTTTGCCTCTTAATGTATTTAGGTTATTGCCTTAGAATGAATGTCTTCTTTATAGGCGGTCATATGAGGGTGTTTGATGGGCATATTTTCTCGGTCAAAGGTTCTTTAAGCAGGTTTTGGTGGGTGTAAAAAAAGCTCTAAGCTTTTAGAGTTAGAGGTTTTAAAGTCACAGGTTCAAATATCAAAGGCCTATCTCTCCTCATTATTTTCTCACCACTGTTCTGCCCACTATTGGCTTGAAGCGGTGCAAACTCAGTCAACCTCCTTTTGAATTTGATCTCTTTCCTCTCTTTCTCGTCTACGTGCTAAAGGTTAAAAATATTGTTTGCCTGAGAAGAGGTGCATTAAGAAGAGAATATGACTAGATTGGGCTCTTTGTTTAGCTAAAGTTTTTGAACAAATTGATTCTTCTGTTATTTCACATTTGTTGTGAACTCATTTGATGAATGTGTCAAATGAATTGTTTTGCAGACAAAAAAATTTTCAGGATTGCTACTGATGATCGTAATCTGCAATGTGATTTCTTATTCCAGGTCGTGTAGTCATGGGCCTCTTCGGGAAAATAGTTCCTAAAACTGCAGGTATACCATCCAAATTTATGGAAGCCACTGCCTTATCCTTCCATTGGGTTTATTTGTTTCAAAAGCATGGAATCACTGTGTATGATGTTCTTTTTGCAGAAAACTTTCGAGCACTTTGCACGGGTATCCAAGTAACTTCTCCCTCCTTGTATTTATTCCTCTCCATGGGGCTTGCATCTTTCAAAAGAAGTGTATAAATCTGGAGCTCCAATTAACTGAGGGGCATAAAATTGTGGAAGTTGTGTGAGCAAGAGAAATGTTTATGCTATTCAAGAACCCCTATGTTTGCTTGTGGAATACAATTCAAGATCTTATATTTTCACTAGATTTAAACCGAGTTTTAACAAATGTGTGTGAGATTATCTTGTTGAAATTAGCATTGTTGCATCTGATTCAGGGCAACTAAATTAATTATGTATTCATAGAGGTAATTACTCCTTTGGATGTCCAATTGATTAGTTAGGTATGAATTTGTGTTATTATTAACGCTACTTGGAGAACAATCTCATTGTAGGGGAAAAAGGAGTTGGAAAGAGCGGAAAGCCTCTCCATTACAAAGGGAGCACCTTCCATAGAATTATCCCTAGCTTCATGATTCAGGGTGGTGATTTTACTCGTGGTGATGGACGAGGTGGGGAGTCAATTTATGGTGAGAAATTTGTTGATGAGAACTTCCAGCTCAAGCACACTGGACCTGGTAAGCTGCATTTCTCATCAGCCTTAGTCCCTCTCCTCATAAACTAGTTTCATAGAAACCATCTAAGTTTATTGTCATCTGTGAAGCTATACATCTGTGTACTAATGGTTCAGATTTACAGTTGTCTTTCTCTTTTACTTTCCTTTTGACCCTTTAGTATTCTTCAAGCAGGAGTCTTGTCCATGGCAAATTCCGGGCCAGACACCAATGGATCACAATTCTTCATTACAACGATAACAACAAGCTGGTACAGTATTGGTTCTGTCTTCTGCTGCTGAGCTGGTTTTTATGTTTTAATGTTAGGGAGATTTTCTATCTTATAGTTGGAAATCTTCAATTTTCAGTTTCCTAGAAAAATTGGGGAACCTGGCATTGTGAACCCACTTGTAGACTAGATTGGTAGTATAAACATGATAACAGTCGTGAATTAGGTCATCTTCTTTGAGATGAGTATTTCAGTGGATCGGAACTGTATTTATCACATGGATTGATAAGATTGGATATTCGAAATATTATTGGAACTATTAAACTCACATGGTTGCACTTGTTTTCTTTCCAAGGTTGGATGGCCATCACGTGGTGTTTGGTAAGGTGCTTTCTGGGATGGATGTGGTGTACAAAATTGAAGCAGGAGGAAGAAAGAGCGGGACCCCAAAAAGAAAAGTTGTCATTTTAGACAGCGGTGAAATGCCACTGTAATAATCTCCGGCTATATTTTTTGTTTGTCATACATGAATACTGTATGTCAAGGTTCAATAACAGTGGTCTTTCCAAATGTATAATACAATTGCATAAGAAATATAAGCTTTTATATTTCTCTCCTTTGAATGTCTAGAGTACCAATCTGGTTTATTACCACTAGCTCTTTCAATGGAGCCAAAATTAATTTCAACTTACCATATTTTTCTAATGCTTTGGTACATTTTCAGTTATTTTATCTTATTGATTGATAGTTTGATTGAAGTTATTATAATTTCATTAATTATCTTTAAAAAAATTATTTTCAAATTATTAGTGAAATAGTATATTGCATCAGCAAAGGATGATTTTAGAGAAGATTTAAAAGAATTTTCTTCATAAATTTTCGGTAGCACCACAGATGGCCTGCTTTTGATCGAACTTAGAGGAATTTTATATGCAAAAGCTGAACTAAAGATATTCTATCAGTTAAATTAAAAATAATAATAAATTACAGTCATAATCTGCATTATTATATTTAGCTATTTTTTTCCCTTCAAGCTTCATAGAAAAAGCCATAGAAGCTTTTCCCATCAAAACTTTGTTAAGGAACCATGCTCATTAGACCACTTTAGCCAAATATTGTAAGGCAAATACAGACTCATCAACCAAAGGATGTTTCGATAAAAGCATCCTAGCGACGCAGCGTGTCTTCTCCGGTACAGCAGCTAGTTATGAGGATATCAATTAAGGAGCAAAGAACATAAGCACTAGAAATGAGTAAATAGAACATGAGGCTTACTCAGCTAGTTAGGAGGTTGAACAGGTACGTTTAAGCGGCATGGCCATTCTTCTTGTAGAAAAAGAAACAGATTATTACAGAGTTTTCGAAGGAAACACTAATCAAGAGAAGTTGAATCTATTTAACTAAAAGAATGTTAACCAAAGGGACTCATCAAGGAATGAATTACATAGTTAACCTTTTAAGACTCAGATGATATCGTGAGCTTAGAGTCAATCAAAGACTTAGTTCATGATCGGTACGCACTAAGAGTTCAATTCAAGCACACATATATTCAGTCAAAACTCAAGAATAACGAACTGAGATGGATAGATTTACATGATATAACTCGTTTATGGTTATCGAGTCTGAGCACAATGACAAGAAATTCAAAAACCAAACAAACTCTAACTGTATTCAGCTCCCGAGTAAGAAACAGTAAAAATATTATCCTGATATCACTCGTTTATGGTTATCGACTCTGAGCACAACGACAAGAAATTCAAAAACCAAACTAACTCTAACAGGTATTCATCAACATCCTGAGTGAGAGACAGCCTGACTGGTGGATAGTTTGTCCAGTTTTGGTAGTATGACCTATAAGTTCTCAGTACAAGGCCATCTCATTACTTGAGCTTAAGAGGAAACTACCAGCGTCCAACCAAATCAGCAATACTTACACTGCATACCTTTACATGACATTATAAGCACAAACTCAATCCCCTGTTTCTAAACTAGGTATCTTTATAACTGGATGCAAACTACTTCCATTCAAATTTTTTTTTTTTGGGTAAAGACGGAAACTTTACTTCTAACTTCGACTACATCAACGGATGCTTTATGCAAAGAAATTCACCCTCATCCAACATAAAAACCCCAAGCATAATAATTTTGCCGTTTAATCTACCCATTAAAAATGTCCATCTCCAATGGCAGCTCATGTACATCTACTCCAAGAAAACAGTTCCTCATACATCACCAATAATCATAAACCCGGAAATAAACATTCAAAGTGAAAAAGAAAAAGCATGTATAGAGAAAACAGCACAACACAACCAAGTAAAAAGAAAGAAATGATGAACAAGTACTTCATTACATTATCAAGATCAAAGAGGACATCAAACTGCTGGCTGCTTCAACAGGTCATATACACTTCTTATTATATGACTCAATACCAAAGAAGAAACCAGAGACAGCAATTAGAACCAGGGACCCAAGACTTCTTAACTAATAACTACCAAGTAACAAGAATTATTCATAGTAGATACCAGATCGCTAGAGAAACTCATTTAGTCGCACTTAAATCACCACCCACCAAGTGGGATTATTCAATTTTTATTCTAAAGTAAGAATAATTAGATTGAACTTTGAATTATCGTAGGTTACGGATCAAAAAGAACTCTAGAGATAAGAGTATAAAGAGAGAGAGAGAGAGAGAGAGAGACGAGACAGGGAACTCCAGTTTCGCCCCTTTGATGCTTATGCTCTCCTGTGATCATCACTTACCATTGGCAGTCCCGTTCTTGGAATGCTGGTGAAACGCAGTGGAGAAATTCGCGTTAAGATCAGAGTAAAGAGACACGACCTTCGATATATTCCCGTTAAGCTCCTGAATCAACGCCACGTTCTTGACCATGTTATCGGGTGTTTTCGACTGGTGGTTCTCGTTGACTTGTTGGATCAGCACTCGGTTCCGGTCGAGCACGGACTGCACGTGACGAAAATTCCGGTCGAGAGTCTCCCAGACCTGAGAATCTCCTTCCTCTTCGCAATCGGAAACGGTATCGATTAGGTGGGGTCTCTGGCGCTTGAGCTTGGAGCTTCTGTTGTTCTTATAAGCGGTGGCGGTGTCCATGGTCGATTCAAGGGATGATGAATCGAGGGAATTCATATGAAGGGTTTATATAGGAGAGGGTTTTTCTTCCTCACGGTGAATCTCTCGAGTGGTGCCTATCCGACAGCATTTTCTATGTTGCTGCTCTGTTGGCGGGACGCTGTGTTCTTGTGGGATATTTTCAGAGAGAGGGACACATCTCGAAAATGGATTGGATGAATCACAATGAAGGCGGCAGTGACTTCACGCGCCTTTAGTAGGGTGTGAACAGGACTCTCTTTTTTTTTTTTTTTTAAAAAAAGGTCAATTCTCTTTTTTTTTTTAACCAAAAAAAGTAAAAAATGTGTTTATTTTTCTCATTAGTACTTTTTTTGAGAAAATAATTTAATACCTTGAATATAACCCAATTTTCAATTATGTATGTAATTGCATGATTTGGTATTAACTTTTACTTAAGGATTAAATTAGTTTACTTTTCTCATTCAGCAAAATAAAATATTTAAAATAAAAAAGCTAACAACTAATTCAATTTCGGTAGAGAATGAAAAAAATATTTGTACCTGCAAATTCAAATAATTTCCTATTAAATGTTAAATAGTTTTGAATGAAAAACAATTCTTCCTACTATATTAGCATAAATGAAGACAATACATAAGAGAATAAAGTCTAATTACTAAAAACATGTTGCTAATTTGGTACTATCATTTAAACATCTCTATATTATAAATAAGAGTAAAATATTTACATGTGTCGTTTCATTTTTTTAAAAAAAAATTATTTAACCAATCTTAAGATTTTAACTTAAGTACTCACTAGAAAAAAATTAATCAAAAATTTCAAGTTCATATAATTTTATATTAAATCAAATATGCTAGTAAATAATTTAGATTTAATTCTAAATTGAACTTTAAGCTAAAGTTACACTAGCTACACAATTTATACTAGTTAATAAAAAATATACTCCACTTTGATTAGATTTTGTTAAACAATGATTCAGGAATTAACATTGAATAAATATACTTTTAAAATTGTCAGAAAAATTTTATTTCAATTAATAACAGATACCCAAAAAAATCCTAAAAGACAACAAGATATTCTATTTTATATATATATATATATATATATGCATGCATGAATACAAACACACTGTAACTTTCTATTGGTATTCACCCATATATGTACTTCTAAATGAATCTTATTGAAAACTTGATTAAACCTCAAGTCTATCACTTATTTCTTGATTAAATTTAATTCCAAACGAAACTAAAAAACCCCAAGTCAAGATTCAAGGTAAATTGAAACTTTAAAGTAAATGTTAGATATTCAACTCAACTAAAATCACCTATACTCAATAAAACAAATATTTATGTTGTACAAAAATTTAAGACCAAATCTGCTTTTATTATATATTTAAAACTGTATTAAAAAAAATAGTGAAGATATATTATGATAAACTATATAATCTAATCACAAAATCAGGTTCGTGTAAACTGAATGAGGGAAAATCAACGGGTGAGACGGTGAAGGACACGCGTTAGTGGTGGGAGTGGAGAAAAGAGGTAAAGAGAAATATCTAATGGTGGAGTCGGATTGGGAGAGAATAAAGAGAAAAAAGTAAGTCAATACATTAATAGTTCTTTTTGCACCGTCAAAGCAGAAATATCTTCCAATCAAAAATATCTTAAAAGAATACCAATAAATGCCTACTTGCCTTAGTGCTCACATGGGATCTGGATTCCTTCTCTTTCACTCTTTTCCTCTCTTCTTTTTCCCTAAGCGCATAAACAAACAAAAAATATAATAGAAGATTCCTCTACATGCAAACTATTAAAATTTAACAAAAGAATGAATAAGTGAGAATTATGGAGCAGTTAGGAGTTCTTATCGGCTGGAATGTTCTTTTCTACAAAAAAGGAAAAAAAAGAAATGGATCTTTTCTTTAAATAGATGATACATATACAAAATATAATTCAACAAAAACTTACAATAAAAGAAATATTCAGTACAAATCAATTAACATCATCACCTTTTCCATACACTTCTATGCTATGTTTGAAATAAATAAATAAATATTTATATATTTTTTTAAAAAAATTATTCGGGATGAAAAAATTGTTGATCAAATGGTAATAATTAAATTTCAAGACAACTTTAGATAGAATTAAGATGACATATCTTAAATTCTATCAGAATTTATAGTTAAAATTGTTAGGAACTCAAATTTTTATTGTCTTGTAAGTAATTTCCACAAATAGATATAATTATTTTATATAAATTCTACAAATAAAACTTGTTTTTACAAAATATCTTTAATCATTGTTCAAGAATTAACATATACTAATAAAGCATGTTAGACAACAAGATAAGTGCGGAGCACACATTGGAGAAGGATTAGATATTCTAATCTCTTACAGTTACCAAAAAAATTATCCCTCTTAATCCCAAAAAAAAGTTTAAAAAAGCTAATGATCCCGAATGCAAACATAGAGAAATGAAAAATGAAAAAAATATCTTATTTCCATCGCAAGATTTTTTCTCCTAGAGAATCAAGCACTTTATTTTCTATATCCACTTATTCGACATTTGGTTACATCAACCTCTCTGGCTTCCAAACTTTGCAAAGTCTCTAGAACACTCATCTTTTTACTCTTTTGGCTCTTTAAGAAAAATAAGTTGACAGGCAGAAAAATGCCAAGTCTTTTTCTCAACCCAGCAGCCCTTGTATGGTACATTATTTCACATACATCTATACAAGCAAGTCCATCAGTCATACGCACACCTAAAACTTTGTTGAAGAGAGGAATAGCTACTAGAACAACTACCAGATTAGGAGAGTTTATCATCATGTTTAAAGTACCATCTAATCAGTCGGTTTTCTCTTCCTTCCAAGAATTGAAGCTCTCTGAAATCTGGGGCCACCCTTCCTCCACTTCTTGAAAGCTACCATAGAGGATTGAGCTGCCTCATACACTGAAAAAAGGCATAATAAGAACATAGGCGGCCATGTAGATAAACATGGTAAAAATCTAGAAGATCTATTCTTTGAAAAAGTAAAAAGAATCTCACAGTTTTTTTCTTCTCTTGTTAAAAGTGACATGAATTTGGAAGCTGTTGCATAAGCCATGGTGTACGCCTTGGTCAGTATTTCCTTATATCTGATCTTAAAGGAAGTTGAGAGCAAAATTGCTATGGTTCTATCACCAACTCTATCCAAAACAAAATTAACAGAAAAAGCTTAGTGGGAATTTGGTTTCTTTTCCACACAAAAGCTAGAAGCTCAATTGAGCATAAATTGATTATGTTTGCTATGTGCATTGCATCAGATATGATGACAGGAAATGTACTCTACCAAGTGCACATGTAGCAAAAATAATTGCTCCAGAGCACCAAAAGCACCTCTCTGACAATCCAAGTTTATTTATGGTCTCCGACATGCTAACCATATTTTGTAGATCATTATGCCAAAAGACTAGGGTATAGCTTTTTTTGTCTTTTTATGCAAGATCGGGGTGATAGACATCAGCTTGTGTCTAATATTGGTCATAAAAGTTCTAAACATGTTTGCCGTATTTCAATGAACCAAGATATGTTAAATGCAAGAAGAAGCTGCCAACAATTGAATAATTGAAATAGAAACAGAAACACTGTGAGAAAACTTGTTCGCTTCACATTTTCGGAAAATTGATTCTTCCCCAGGTCTGAAAGTTATTGTTAGGTACTGCCTCTATAATCTTGAGAAAATAAGTTCTAAATGCTCCTCTATCCAAAACCTAGAGCCCAGTTAGTCCAGTTGGATGCATTTTCCAGAAATAAGTGGTCCTCGAATCCATATCCCGCACATGGAAATAGAAAACAAGGGAGACTCATTCACATCCAAATGGCAAAACATTAAGTTTGAAACAAGTAAAACTGATAGTGAATGATTAATCAATAAAAAAATGCAACAGGACAATTGTGAAAGACTGTCTTGAAACAAAGTTTCTAGACATCATATTAGGTGAAACACTCATATGGTTCAGGGCATCATGCACACTGGATAACTTACATGTCCTTAGTTCTGTAGTCACTCCCTAAAATTAAGACCAAAAAAAAAGAAGCAAGAGACCTCTTTTAAATGTGAAATTAGAAAATGAATACCAAGAAAAAGATTAAACAACTAGAAATGCACAAACAAGAAAAGCTGGCTTGCAACAATTACTTACAATGGTTCTATCTTGCATCCAAATTCATAAAAGTAAGGACATCGGGAGTTAAGATCCACACATGCAGCATCAGCCTGGATTTCCAGCTTTGTTCTGAAATTAAGTACCACCCACAAATAGGTAAAAAGGAAAGAACATATCAAATAAATCCCCATGTTTTTCAGCTAGATTTTTTAGTGCAACAAGAATAAGTGATTTGTATGCCTATAAAGCAAAATGAACATTCTATGTCAATGTTAAATAAGGACAGTATTTGCTAATATTTTGTGGCTTGGCTTCAAGATCTAAATTTTACTAAAGCAATTCTGGATTCGGTCGTTTATTATCCATACTTCAAAAACTATGAAAAAGATTCTTCTTCAATAGACTCACTCCTTAATAATTTCCCTAGGATTACTATCTCAAGTGGGAAATGTAAATGCCACAAGGAGCTATTAGGATTCTCACTTTTGGTTGAAACAGGCGGGGACATTTATTGATAGCGCTTGCCTCAAGTGTAACTCCTGAGCAAGCCAGAAAGGAAGTTCCACCTTTGCACCCTGCTCAACCTGAGAATCACAATACGAACATTTTAAAACAAGCCGTTGCTCATCACTCCATCACACTTCAAGTCCTTAAACTTACACTGTTTGTTTCTGAACTGGGATCAATAGTCACTCCATTAACAGCCTTATGGAATACAACCGGAACAAACTGCAAGCAAGAACAAAAACCACCACAATACTAGAATTGAGAACCCGAGAGTGGGAAGGAAGACTATCCAAGATGCTGAGCCAAAGCATTAACCTCTTCCTCCATAAGAATGTCATCAATATTATAGTAATTGGCCATCCTCAAATCCCCAGTTCCTTATCCGTTAGTTTCTCAAGCTCTTCAAAACAGCACTAACTGAGTTGCAGTAGGACCAAAACTAACGTATTGCCAGCTCCTGAATTTAAACTCGCTCCCCGAGCTGCAAACCGAAAGCTTACTATAGTACACATACTTCAATTTCCAAAAACAAGGAAAACAAAAAATAAAAAGATGCAATCTCGTTCTTGAAAGAAAACAGCTATCAAACAGACTACGTGAAAGAAAATTTGATCTTATGCGAAGCAAGATTCGAGATTCAAACACGATCTATAAATAAAGAAGCACGCAATTGAAAACTTTCTATCATATACAGATCCCAATTTCACGGGACACACAAGTCCAATTCCAGCCCTAAATTCACAAATCCGATGCCGAACAAGTCTATAGAACTACTTACATACATGTGAACGTGATACATAGTGATATATCCACAGTCTCACATATGCTTAGCTGAAATTAGTTTAAAATCAGAGGAAATCAGGAAATCGTATACCTTTATCACACTTAAAAATGACAAAATCAAGCTATTGATGATGAAATTTGAATTTAAACGCTTAACTAAGAGAAATTTCATGATTCTCAATTGAATTAGGAATCAAATTAAGCGAAAATGCGAAGAGGAGAAAGAGAGAGGGAGAGAGAGACTTGCCTGAATTGTTCAAGCTCTTCTCTTTTGGCTTGGGGTGGCGGGAGGAACAAGAAGTAAAATGGAGGGAAACTCAAAAAACACAAAACTAGCGAAGATGCTTGTATGTATCGCGGTTGTTTGAAGTATTGCCCTTAATGAATATGAACCGTTCGATTAGGAGATGAAGATCAATCGGGTGCCATATCATTGAAACGCTGCGTTTGGGCTGGAGAACGTCTTGTTTAAATTAAAATAGAATTTAGGAATTAAGCCTGGCCTGGCCCAGTAGAGAATCAGTTTTCAATTATTAATGATTAGTAGAGAAGTTAATGAAGTTTTCAGAAATTAGTACAGGATTGAATTGTCATTCACATTTTAAATATTATCACTCCCTTAATCTTTCAAAATCAAATTTTTTATTTCCATTTCCAAAAGATTCAGTATTGGATAACCAATCTCCCTCTATCTCTAGTACATATATATATATATATATAACATTTTAGTTAGTGGGATTCAAGAATGGAAAATAAAATTGAGAAAACATACCCTACATGTAAATTTTTTCTCTCTCTAAATTTAACCTGTATCTCAACTTCTACTTCACCAGATTATACAACTTCAAGCATAAACTTTTTCCCATAAGCATAACTGTAATGTGAAACCATTCAGGGTTTAGATATGAATTTCAACACTTCTTTGTCTGTCCACCTCTATCGTCTTAGTTTCAATTTCTTTTCTTTTCCCTTTTTTTTTTTATGAAGCATGGCCATGCATAAAGCATTTCATTCTTCAATTTCCTGAATGGAGCTCCTCCAGGTTGCAGGTATTTCAGCAGCCTTAGTCCCATTGGATCTCACGGTGAATTGTCCACTCAGAAGGGTTCAACGTGGTTTTCCCATCAGCAGCGACAAGATCGTAAGGTGAGTCCTCTGAGAATTCAGTCTGCATAGACTTCCAATGAAGAGATGGCTTCCACTCTGCGGATTTTATCACTTTTAGTATCTCCTCCACGACTATTTTGCTCCCCTCGGCAGATAAATGAATTCCATCTCTGCAAGGTAGCATCTGGTAGTGTCAAGAACATAACATCGAACAAATATACAGAGCAGCATGAAGAAAGATAGGAAAAAAGATCAAACAAATATTGTCCTCTCCTTCATTTGGTGCACAAAATATATGGCTAAGCATGTTTTTTGTCCAGGTTATAAAAATTTGTCCAAAATTTAACCAGTTTCAACTTTTTCCTGATTATGGCACGCGTTTAAGTTTAATAACAAGTTTTTAAATTACCAAATGTAATAGTGAATGTTATTATAATTCCAGAAGCAAACACTAAAAAGAAACAATTCTCTTTCACAGGAAGAATAGAGCGGTGACACAGCATAAGAAAAAGGATTGCAAGAAACCTACGTAAAGCAAGTCTTCCAATCATCTCCTTTTTGAAGTGCAGTGAAAAGATCAACCACTTTTACATCCAGTTCCTCGCAGAGCTTTATACAAGCTTCTGAATACATTCCACATAGCTCATTTGTCCTAACCAGCTCACTTAGAAATTTACTGGTTCAGAAAATGACATAAGCATTAGAAAAATTTTCAAAGAAAGCAAGGTAAGGAAGGGATGCCAAATATGAAGTAGCTCACCTTCTGGTCTCACGAATTCTGTCCTCATCCACAGGAGGACAAGTAAGAGCAATAATCCGTATTGAATCCGAGAGACTCTAATATAAAAATTTTGATGTGTAAGAGTATAGACAATAGTTCATAATTAGAAAATGACCTTCCTCTTTCCATTTTCAGGTGGTCCAAAAACAACAAACGAGCAGAAAACACATAAGATTGGACTTATACTTGCATTTAAGGTTTCCTTCTCTGTTTCACTTCTTTCACATGGAAACTATTAAAAATGTATTGAATAGCTAGTGAGTCCAACACAGAGAAATTTTCTGCCTATTTACACTTAGCATTCCAGAAGCCAGTTGCTTTTTCCCTAAAAATTAATTTTTTTGTACATGTAAATTTTTCGATTTCATGTCATTCTCAGAAACTATATCATCCTCTCTTTTCCTTTTTCCGCCCTTTCAGAAAGAAAGAAAATACCAGCACATTCGGTGAGATTCTGTTTATCACCATCATGTATTTCCATCATCCTATAGAGATCAATCCCAAGCTATCTCATTTCTTTTGTGATAAAATGAAACAAAAGTGAATTATTCCATATACATTTAACTTCTAAATATCCAAATATGATATTATGCCAAAAAAGAATAGAGAGAATTCTTCCATGCTCTCTCTTCACAAAATGACTACTCCTTTGACATGTCAACCAGGGGCAAAATAGTTATGCAGTACCACATGAACATTAAGAGATTACCTTCAGATGAACTATAATCTTTCGCATATTCTCAATATATTCTGGAAGTGGTACATGGGGGCCGAGGCCAGATGGGTGAGCACCCATTGAATCATTACCACCAAAATAGACAATCACCAAAGAAGGCTGTATGGCTGCATCCTAGGGGAGGGAAATGAAATTTGATGTCAGTTCCAGAGTACCAATATGGAAGGAAACAAAAACCTGAGGCAATCTAATATTATGTATAAAAAATTCCAACTGCTATATAATTTCCTGAAATGGAACATAGCACACTACCAAGTCCAAAAACATGAAGAGCATCTAGTAAGAAGACCCCCCTTTCTAATGTCGACAAATTTAATAGGGAACTCAATAGTCCTTAAGAAATTTCAAGGAACTTGTATCTGATTATTTCCCCATTATCACTTAATATCCCAGTTAAGGCACCAAGAAGTTCAACCTGAGTACAAAAAAGTGCATAATACAGCAGCCTTTATGACATACAATGGCCGCAACAATTAAGATACTTAAATGTGTTTATGCACCTGCAGCATGCATTTTAGCAAATATATCAAACTGCAAGCCCTTCTTTTATCAAAGGGAAAAACCTTGTAGCATCTCAATTTTTCATATGCTCCCAAACTGTATTCCAATAAAGCTCTACTTAATTAATGCATTAATCTTTGTTAAAAAGTTCCTCAAGGAATACCTTCGGGAAAACTTCATTGAGGAACTGTACAGCGCGTGTCGAGTTCCAGCCATAGTATCCTCGCAAGATTACATCTGCCTACAGTAGACCAAGTAAATGATAAGGTCACACTAGGACTAATAGAAATGCATAATAGATACTCTTCCATTACTAATCATCATCAACTTGTCTCATTCGCAAGGCTATTACTGTATAATTTCTGGAAACATTAAGTTCATTCACTCCATGGGGTTAAAGGGTTTGAAATGGAAAGTAACTCAATTATAAGAATTATCTTTTGCTGTTTCCAAAGGTCAGGCAAGGTTGAGTTTTTTTGGTTCTACTACAATCCTCTCACAACTTTTAGTAATATATAGACCAACTCCATGATTTTTCATTTACCAAATCAGAGAATTAAGGTTCAAAATGTCCTAGTATTATGATGTTAAAATTCAGTTCACCGATGAGTTTAGACTAGTGTTGAATTCTTCATAATCATAGAACTCAAATTTGGGTCGTCTTCCCACATGATTTCTTTTACAAAAATCCCGATCCATATCAAACTAATAATTGAATTTGAAGGGAAAGAATCTCATTCATTCTCATCCCGTAGCTGAATTTGATTGCCCGGTTCTTACAATATTCTAAACACTATAACGTATGCTCACTACATGAGGCAATCTTAAAACTAAGCGCCGTAATGAAATCCTTTTTTTAGTCACGAAATCTAAACATAACATGCATTTTTCTAGGATTTGCCTCCAATAATAAAACAGAGGAAATTCACAGCATAAAAAACAAATTCTTCCATAGCTACACAGCACAAACAGGTACACATCCTGACAAAACCTAGTGATCTTCCCCGACTTTCCTCGAATTAAAACCAAAGCAAACACACAAAATAAAAGCCTAATCCTCCATAATCACTCACACGCACACATTTACATACAAATACATATATGTCTATCCGCATACAATAGGTATATCAACTTAGCCGTGTGCCCAAACATGTGTAAAACCAAACAACGGAAATGAAGAGGAGAGCGTAGAGAGAAGTATGCATACTTTGCGAGCGTAAATATCGGATAGAATAGCGCCCCAACCACCATTGCTGAAGCTGAGCTGGACGATGGAGGAGCCGAAGAGAACGAATTGAGGTCTTACCGGTCCCACCATCTCTCTTTCTTGATGAAGACGCAGAAGCAAGAGACAGGAATCACCGAGCTCAATTCACACTCCGGTTGGTGAGGAAAGGGAAAGAGGGCGCTCGCGTGCATTTCACGGTGTGAGTGGGGTTTAAATGAAGAGAGAGTAAAAGCAGAGCAGAGCAGAGCAGAAAGGAGACCATCAATACGGCTGCGTTTTTGAAGACAACTACACTCGCTTCCATAAATTGCCAGGCATTGGCCGTTTCAACTACCTGTCTTTTCAACTCGATTTAAAAATAAAGTGATTTTAAATAATTAAAATTAATTTTTTTATACCATTTTATTTATTATAACGTCTTTAGAAATATGTTTATTTGATTTTTTTTATTTTATTTTTTCGGCGTATAAGTAAGTGAAATTTATATACCGGTAGAGCTTACAAGTTCTTATAGATTTTCCTTTGAAAGAAATCTTTTTCATCTCCTTGAAGTTTAGAGATCAAAACTTTAATTAAACTAATTAGAATATAAAACTTTATACGATCAAAACTTTAATTAAATACATATATATAAATATATGTCTATTTCAAAGATAAAGCAATAATTCAAGTGGTAATTGAGAGCAACAGGAAAAGCATGTGGTGTTAAGGGTTGGTAAATGATCCACCAAACAGCCCAACTGTATGTTGCAGCACATTGATGAGCCCTGACTTTACAACAATTTAAATGAGAAAAATCAAAATCAACCTCACCATAATAAATTGTTTTGAAAAACGACTCATCTTTGTACTCCATTTCTATCTGAAATTCATGATTTATTCGTGCCAAAAATAAAATTGCTCCAAAATTTAAGGGTATTTTTGAAAGTATTATGTTTATATATATATATATATATGTATAACATTATTTTTAAGGGTATATTTAAAATAAGCTTAAAATACACACTTATTTTAATTATATCATTATGAGAATAGTACTTGGATGATAAAAAATTAAATTCATATGAAATTATGCATAGAACTCAAACTTAATATTTTAAGATTTATTAATTTTAACAAAAATTTTAAAATATTTTATTTTAATTCCACATTAAATTTTACACATGTTCGTTTTTTTGTTTTTTCTTTCTGAGAGGAGTACTAGTTTGAAGTAGAGATTTAATAAAATAGAGGAATTAAATTGGTTTTTTTTTTTTTCACTTTCTTTTTAAGAAGTTTCATCATAGTTTAGAAAGTACAAATTTATGGGTTCCATCTCCATTTATTTTCATAAATAAATAATTTTAAAAATAAATAATAATTTTTTTAATTATATGAACCAATCTGGAGAATTAAGAACAACTAACAAACTTTAAGTTATATAACATTGGAGTAAGGTGAACTCAAATACTTACACAATTACTTCCCTCACCCAACCACCCATATTGCTACTAACATAAACATATGTGAAGATAAGATACGTAACTAATAGACTCATAGGATTAATTTCAAGTAACAAGAAATATTGAATACAAATATAATATTTTCGTAAACTAAGTTCACAATTTTACTTGTGATTATTAATATTCTGATAGTTAATTATAATTTCCAACAATTATTTCTTTTCAAATATCAAATATTATAGACTCAAGCTTACTACAACATCCCTGAATTACAATCATTCCATTCTAGTTTCAACGCAAGCAAATCAATGAGTTATAGACAGAGTCGTCTCTAAAGGTTTTCATTTATTACCAAATTAATGTTTTACACAATTCATTATTTTACCCCACGCAAAGAATTTTACACCTTTTGAGTAAAACTCTATAGAAAAAATGTAAGAACCTTTGTATGCAAACAAGAGTGGAAAATACAATTTCATATTTGTCTATTGAAGAAATACCTTGCGCTGATGGTCCGTTTCCTCAACCATCCTGCAAGCAGAAGAAAGTTCTGAACCACGGAGACAAAGATTATGAGAGTCTCATGTGGGGTTCGAAAAAAATGAGGAGCAATAACGAAAAAGGAACTCTCTGTATATATGAAAAGTTTTTGTCTTTGTTTCTCATTTTCGCCATCTCAAAGCTTTCCTAAGTTGTAAGAGCCATAAAAGCATCCGCATTATAAAAAGTCTAGCTTCCAATACCATCTCTCCTGCCCAGATGTTTAGCCAACATAATAAAGATTTATTCTGTAACATTTTTGCCTCCACAACTGCCTCGGACGAAACTTTTCCAATGATCAAGAATGTTTCGAGAGAAGAACCCTGCAACTGTTCACAAATCATTTCAGCAAAAAGAGTCCAAATCTTTTTCCCAATGGAGAAAATGAAAACCAAGCTTCATCCAGAGAATACCCAAGAATGCTCCCAATTAAAGCACTAATAAGCCATCTGCACCTAATTTTTTCACTCTAGTATTTGAGTCAAATACATCTGCGTTGGGCTTCATTCATATTTATTATATTCCATTCAATTTCTAAAATATACTTAATCATAGTTTATACATTAAATAAATAATAAGTAATTTCACTTTTCAATTTCCCAATAAAAACTGCTTATGCTACTAGTCCATTAATGAATCACAAAAATACATAATTTGAATTAGAATAAAATTAATTTAGAATTTTTTTATTCAAATGCCTATCATCCTTGTATTATATCCTCATTCATATTCCATAAAATTAAAATTTAGACCAGTCTCATTTTGTGCTGTTAAACAGCCAGGACATGTTTCCATGTGGAATCTCAAAGGTCAAGAAAGGCAGAACAGAAATCAATGGCAAAAAAAGAGGTGAAGCAATAGAAAAGTACCAGTGCATTGTTAACGGACCGCAGACAGTCATTTGTCTTCAACATTAACAGAATTACACGGGGCAATCTTCTAAGAAGCTCTGTAATTTGAGGGAAATACTGAGATGCATACATCTGCCAAAGAGAGAAAGTCATCGTGTCAAAAGACTGAAAACCTTCTAGCAATCATCCATCACATCCAAATAACAATAAATTAAAGACAGTCTTTACTTCATATAATTTCCATGGCTGGATACCAATGATAGTAAAAGCAACAGGTGAAGGAAATCATTAGTAAGAGCATAAAGTCTTTCTCTGGCATAAATATTAAAATAACCAAAGCTTACAAGCACCATCTATTCAATGGATTTTCACCTGTAATTCAGAACAATCACTATCAGTGCCTTGTATGACTAAATGATCAACAGCAGGGTCAACAACCCTATTCCAGGGCCTCATGGTAAGAATCCCAGCAAATAGCGCATATAGATCCTCCCCAGCACCCAATTTCACACTATTTTCCTTTATCGCATTAGCATCAGCAAATATCAAACCCTGTAACATTTTAAACGACAAATAAAAGTAGAGTTGCTGATGACAAGAAAACATAAGCACATCATGAACTAAGAGAAACTTTTACAGGAAGCAATTAAATACCTTCCATAGTGCAGCATAGTTAAATCTTGTGGTGAAATCTAGTTCCTTGTATAGACCATGATCTAGAAGTATCAACTGAGGCTTTCTCATGCCTGAAAAAAGAGAGAATATTCAAAATATTAAAATGGTGAAAGAATGCATAACTAGTCCTAAGTGGCCTTTCTAAATCCCAATTGGACACCGTTCGCATAAAAACATGATGAAACTATACAGTATAACTGCATTGCCGTTACAACTTACAAAACTCAAGTTAAAGGCAGCTGAAATGTAGAAATGTCAATGAGAGAGCTTCTAGCTGCCATGAACAGCTTAGATGGACGCATTTTCTCATAGATGGTTGGTCTAAACTAACAAAAGAAAAGGATTCAACACCATCTTTGCTCTGATTCAAATTGTAATATCTGAGTTCGGAAAATTGACTCGGGAAAAATTTTGTTATATTTTGAAAAAAATAAATTAAAGATGAGACTGAAAACAATTTTGGAAAAAAATTGTGAAAATTTTGGGTTCGAATGATGTTTTTGAAAGAAAAATCAGAAACTGAGAGTCAAAATGCAAATAAGAAAAATTTGGTCACACACAACTGTCCAGTCAGCAGCCTCGACGAATCGGAGCACGCTGTATGGCAAAGCACGCTAACTCGCGCCACGTAGGAGGCCACACTAGCTATCTGCGTGCCCCGCGATCGGACGACCCAGAAGCAATCCCGCACACGTAGACGGTTCGGATATGTTTCCCCTTTAGGCGAGATCGGACGGTCGAGATTAAACGCGATGAGCGGCCCAAATTAACGCGATATGGGTATAAATATTTTGCATCACACTGAACCCGAACCTTATCCGCCAGCCTCCTGCCGGATAAGAAGAATCAGTCGCCGTATAGGGAGCCAACCGCCGACCGCCGTTGCACCGGAGCCACCTCTGATAGCTAAAAAAAGTAAAAATTCTCTTACCCGCTCGGAATTCAATTACGAGCACCCCTGTGGCCATATCGGAACAAAACAGTGGGTGAGCTGGAAACCGCGGGCAAAGCCCGGTGGAGCCGCCGCGGGAAAACCTGCAACCTCCTCCGATGAGCCACTTCCCGTTTCCCATTTCGTGCGATTTTTCCACCGTTATGTTCATATTCTGTTTTTTACAAGTTGATCGAAGAAAAAAATCTTAGCCGCAAAGGTGAGCCGGCGAAGCCGCCTCACCCAGAAAACTCCACCACTGGTAGGTTTCCGTTTTATGATTTCTTTAGCCAACCGAGACTCCTTAACGTATTTTTTCGCAGGAATATGTATAAAGTCGGCCGAAACCGACCAAAACCGGCAAAAACCGGTCAAACTGAGACAAATTACCGCCACAAGCGGAGGTGCTATCGCCGGAGCAAGGCGGTGCCGTCATGCTGGAATCCCAAAATTGGCCCAAAAGAATTTTTAATACTAATTTTGGATTTTTTGGATATTTTTATATACGTGAAGCATGTTTTAATCTCCACAGAAAAATTCAAGAAACTTGGGAACCACCAGTAGGCGCAGTAGAATGTTCGGTGTTTCGAACACTAATTCGGGTAAGAATCTTTCACCCTATTTTTAGGTACGTGAAGCATGTTTTAATTTCCACAGGAAAATTCAAAAAACTCGGGAACCACTAATAGGTGCAGTAGAAAGTTCGGTGTTTCGAATACCAATTCGGGTAAGAATCCTTCACCCTATTCTCTGTTATGGAATTGAAACTTAATAATCAATAATATAGCATTTTGTGAAATTTAAAAAAAAAATTGAGAATAATTACAAGTCACTAATTGAGCACGAACTGATTAGTTATTTATTTTTCCTATTTAATTGATTATTTGAATTTACAGCTTTAAAACATGATAATATATTGGAATTGTTAAATGATTTAGTTGTGCTTTCTTGATGCATATATCACTTTCCTTGCGTAATTTATGGTTGATTTGTGAAATTTGAAAATAATATGCAAATGGAAATTGTTTGGTTATATGAATTAATGAATGGTTGTTTTACTGGATATCCTGAAAGATGGTGGACAGACCGAATACATAGGGAACCCTACCGTGAAAGTTACCTCATACCGGACGGGATATCAAGAGATGGTATTTTTGGTGCTCATACCGGACGGGTTATGGGAACGACCCGATTCATCCTCATACCGGACGGGATATGAGGACGGCCCGATTCACCCTCATTCCGAACGGGGTATCAAGAGATAGTATTTTTTGCGCTCATACCGGACAGGGTATGAGAACAGTCGGTTAGTTGACAAATTTAGATATTAGGTTCGCGCGTAGTGGGACACCCCTATGAACTCCTAGGGATACCAATAAGCAAAATAAAAAGGGAAAATTGTTGTTTTTACTCACTTGAATATGAGATCATAATGTTATTCGAGTTATTGTCTCTATACATCGGTTTTGAAAATTTTGCAACGATAAGCATGCAATAAATAGTTTTTCTTATACTAAATGAATTTACTTAAATTAAGAGGTTCATTGGTTGTTTTTATAATTTTTACCAACATTTGGTTTCTGTATCGATGAATAGTGTGATATTCTTATTGGGTTAGTGTAACTCACCTCCTCCCCTATTAACCATTTCAGATCAAAAAAACTAAAATTCAAATCCTGATCAGCAGGAGAACTGTGAGTAGGTGTCCCTCTGGATCCTATCAAGAATTAGTGGAGGTTAACATCTCTACAATATTTATTTACTATTTTCATATATTATTACGTTTTTTATTTTATGAACCACTGAGAAATAAATATTTCTGTAACCCTATTGAACATGCTAATTTATGTGTAAGGAATGTAAACTCTAACGTTATTATACGTTTCCGCATTTAATTTATAACCTTATTTTCATTTAAATTCTAGATTTTTACACAAATAGTTTTAAAATAAAGTAACTTTAAAATGTGTCAAAGAGATGATGAAAATGCCAAAACAAAGGAAAACCCTTACCTAGTATGCTCCTTTTACTAGAAGGCAATGGGCGAACAAGCAAGTTGGCAGCATGTGGGTCACAATGCACAAATCCATGTTTAAACATCATTTCAGCAAAGGCTTGACTAACCTGGAAGAGGGAAATGGAAATCAAAATCAATCTTTTTATTATTCTGAAAGGTTAGTATTTGATAATAAAGTCTATATCCTTTCTTTTTTGAGATAAAATATCAAACTTAAAATTGAACTATAACATTTTTCCCAACTTCAAATTCTGTCTTGATTACATAATCAACATTGTCAAATAAAACAATAGGCAGACTATCATATGCCACCTTGAATCGTATACCTTTGAAGTCAAAATATCATTCCTCATTTCATGGTCCAAAAAAAGAAAGTGACCAATATTCTACGGCCAAAATATGTTAGGTATAGTAATATTGAAAAACCTGGCCACCTTTCAAATTAATATATCTCTGGAAAGGAAAAAGTAAGTGACCCTAAATTTTACAAGCCAAGTCATGATAAAAGTATTGCAAGGAAGCTCACTATGCAAATATCAATTTCATGGACTTACTAGCTTTGCGACTTCATTAGGTCGGATTCCAAGTCTTTGAATTGTCTTCACATCATTCACTTGAGCACCATCTATGAACTCCATGGTTAACAACTTGGAGGTACTTAAATTCCAGTATACAGATGGTGCATAAACATAGTCTGCAAGATGAGGAGACAGCTTCCGAAAATTATCCATACATTTCTGACTGTTTTTGGCCTCAACAAAAAAATCTAGTTCCTGATTGTGACAATTATGATTGATCAATTTTATTGAAAATTACTGCAAATAAAATTGTATTAATGTGATATAAAGGAGAATAGGTAGCCTAGCAAAATTATAAACTTCTAAGAACCAAAATCAGTTGTCAAAGGATATTATGCTGAAAATAATTGGAGAAATAGTGATCCTCAGCATTTGATTTAAAAGAAGATGAATATCTGAAATTACTTTAAAAGAAAGAGAGATGGTCAATCTTTAATGAAAAAGAGGAAAAACATCAAATTGTTTTGAGTTGGAATACAGTGCATACATGCATGTGTGTGTAGATTAGATGAAAAGCCCAGGGAAAGAGATGAACTGACAAATAAGAATGTGGAAAGCTACTTGCCTTAGGTAAGCTTTCACGAATTTCATCAATCAACCATCTGCACATACAAATCAAGGAAATTCAAAATTAAAATAGCAGTTCAGAACAAGCTTAAGACAACATAAACATAGACATATACAGATTTAAAAAAAGGAACCAGCAAACTTAATGTTAGCAATTTTATGACCATAAGCATTTTATAACTTTTGGCAATCTAGGTACAATAAGTAGCAAATGAAACCAGTTATAATTGTACCTATAATCAAATGAAGGGAAAAACCAATGTAGAGTATTTACGATGAATTCCACAGTGGCTTGATCTGCAGCTGCTGTATCTGTCATGTGAGCATGTTGAACCTGAATATTGAGAAATATTTGGACATGAAAGGTCTCATGAGAAATTGGAGATTTAAGTAAGCATATTTGTGATAAATGTGGTTCCACCTAGAAAATATAAACCAATTTGGTGTAAATAAGGCAATATTGAGACCTTCACAGCAACTTTTTGGCCGTCATTTGTATGAGCAACATGGACTTGTGCAAGGGAAGCACTTGCTATAGGAGCAGGGTCAAATTCTTTAAAAACCTATACATCGAAAGGCTTGTATCAGGCAGCAAGTATAAAAATTCAATTCAAAGAATTTTTTTCTCATGAAATATGTGAACAACAGAAGTCAGCTAGCTTTCAAATCAGAAGGATAGATGCAACTTAATTATAGTTATTCCATGATATGCTGCAAAAATAAAAACAAAAATAAAAATAATACATACTTTATCCGGTGTCTCCCCAAGCTCTTTCTTGAATACTTCACACACTTGATCATATGATGAAACAGGACACTTATTCAGCATGCTCTCCCTCATTACCTGGACATACTCTTGAGGTACCAAGTATTCCTACATACCGAAAAACAGAAGTCCATTGCTTCATGCTAAGTTGCCAACAACTGAATAAAGGCAATTACATAAAACTCCTTTCAAACTTAACACAATAGAAACCCATTTCCCTGCTTTAGATAATTAAGGAAGCAGAACAAATGCATACCAGCTGTCCTAGATGTTGACCAAGCTTTATATATATTCCTCCATTTTTGAAACAAAGTTCTTGAAGTTTCCGTGCTGACCTCAGGTGAACTTCATGTTTGACTTTTAACCTCTCGCCACTTCCTTCCGGCAAACCCCATAAAGAGTATTGATAATCTAATAATGCGCATTCAAACAGCATGATCACAACACTCGGCTCCAATAACCCGCTACATATTCACACTTATATGAAAAGAACGCATATAACGACAGACAAAAACATATTCTTCACAATGCACCAAAAAAAGCCTCTTCCAGTAGTTGTAAACTAAAAAATGATGGGCAATCCATCAACTACATGTTCCTTAAAGTATCTTATTGTCAATACGATTCATATTCTATGAACACAGAGCATCCTTAATTTCTTGTTTAGAACAAAAGCAAGAGTTCCGATAAATTCTTCACCTATTACAGAACCATCACTATGAAGCAAACATAATCTGACAAATTAACTCCAGAAAGGGAAAAACAAAAGCTATAATTGACCAGAAGCTCATAGCATTCAAATTTAAAGCGCAAAAATTATCTTGTGCAGCGTTGTTATATACCAAAAACAATAGAAGCGGCGGTCAAGGCGTCCCGATAAAGGCGGACGGGAACGGCAGTGCAGAGCTTCAGAGTGGTAGCTGGATCCTCGGAGGAAGCAACGGCGGCTGCTCCAGCTCCGGCACAAATCGCTGTGGTGGCCGCGGCCAGCCTGGCTCGGGCGCGCCACAGGGATCGTGTGCTCATCTCTGCTGCTAGGAAGAACAGAGAGGAGGAAGACGCAAAAACACGAAAGCAGTTCAACGCACGAACAGAAAAGCGTAATTCTCGGCCCAAAAAACAAGGTAGATCAAGGAGGGAACTAAATCCTATATTTTTGGAATCTGAGAGTCCGAGAACGTGAATTGGGTTTTATTGTGAAATTAAAATAATTAGTTTGTCTAATTCTCAATTGTTAATGTTAAAATAAATAAATATTAAATTTAATATTCTTTTTTAATTTTTATTTGTTATATTTTTTCACTATTTTTATTTTTCAAATTTTAGAAATTAAACCATTAGATTTAATTTAATTTTTTCAAACTATTCTCACTAATTTTTAGATTTAAAAATTGATAGTCATTTTCAGATACGATGTCTTTTCTCGTAACTAATTAATACATGTCCGAAGGGGGAAACAAAATGAATATGGTAAAATTTTGAATAAAAAATAATATTTTAATTTCAATTTAATTCGATCTCCAACTCAAATTAGAAATTTTTATAATTCATTCATTAACTATAAAGAATACAAATAATATTACAAAATTTTAATATAAATAAAGTTTATTTTAATTATGTATCAAGTAATAAATTATAATTCAATTACATATGAGACATAAAAATTATAACTAATTTTTAATTACTAAATAACTAATTTTTAAAAATTTAATGAAATAAGATATCTTTTTCTATGTCATACCGCCAAATTTCAAAAAAAAAAAAAAAATTATCAAGTAGAGATCTTATCAAGAAAATGAAACGTATCTGCTTAAAGTTCTATCTGCAAGCAAGAATGAAATAAACCATGAAATCACTACCGGTGAGAGCTTGGACCTGTTTCAGAATCACTCCCTAAACTTCCACCCTCCTATACTGTACATGGAAACATCCAAAGGAAACTGGAAACCAAAGCTAGAAGTCAGTATGAGAATGGTTACCAGCGGGCACCGGCCATTTTTGTTGCTGATCAGATATTGGAAACACCAAATCCTATTGCAGCTAAGTGTTGAAACTATTTCTCACAGTCAGCTAGTTTACATGCCTGAGTTCGACAAGCTAAACTCGTCATAATATTAATTGCAGCATGTTAAAAATCAAGAGTTCCACCCTTGGATGATCCAGAGCAAGTGCTGGATGTCCCATATGATGTCCCACTTGAGCCATCAACTGGAGCCTGATTCAGACATTCTAAACCCAAATACCTGCGCTTGTGTAACTTGAATGAAAAAGTTGTTGCTTCGAGAATTACAGGCACCTGTTGACAAATTCAAGCAAACCAATGAACATAACAAGTAAAACAGTTGTACCTTCCGCAAATTTTGAGTTTCAAAAGTTCCTTTTTCTTAATTTTTTACTCTGCATAAAGAAATATGGTAATACATTCAAAGTACTAAGAGGATACAAACTCGAATATAAAAGTATTTACAGAAGGTATTGATCTTTTTCTTTTTCTTAATCTCATCTTTGTTTTGAAAAACTTTAGGTAAAACTACATTTTTAACTCTTCTGATTTGACCTCATTATAATTCATTTATATGTAATTTTTTCTGATAATTCAATATCTTGACAGTTGATATTTTATCTTTTTGCATAAAACTGTTAGTCTTTAGATGACACTTACATTTGTTTGAATTTCTAAACAAGTATTCATTGAAGTTCAAAGCTAACTAAATCACAATTGAAGCAAATAAAATTACAAGATAATAGTAAGTATTTTGTGTATAATGACGAAAAAACAAACCACAAGATACTGAACTGTTATAAAAAAAAACACAGAGATAGGACTACAATTAGGTCAAACCATAGAAATGAAATTGCAATTTGCCCAAAATGTACAACAACTGGTGTTCTTTCTGGAATATGTACCGTAAACAAAAAATTGAAGCAAAGATTGGTTTTCTTGGTACCTGTGTGTTGATCCGTGCTACTTTATGTACGTTGAGGAAGCCAACCATATCTTGGTAACCAGTTAGGAGTTTCGCCAACTCTTTGTCTTCATCTGAGGAGAAGCATCCATTAAGAACTATAGTTACATGCAATCGAGACCAAAAATGAAAACAGATGGACGAGCTGCAATTTGACAGTAAACCTGGAATTGCTTTGACAGAAAGTAAGGTGTCTGCCATGTGCTGCAATCGTTTAGACAAGGATGCTGAAAGAAGGGAAGGCGGAAAGGTTACAATGGCAACACAATTTGAAGATGATAACATGCTTTTCAGAAATCTAATGAACGAAAGAATATCCCATTCCTGCAAAAGTTAATAAATTTATGGTCAGAAGTCAATATTGGAGCTAGCACAGCAAACAATCTACATAGAGCAGAACTATTATCAAATGGTTCTAATGAGAGAAATGCACAGATGTCGATTGTGTGAAAGTGAACAGATTTCAGATGTTTCTCAACGA